AAGGCCCCCCCCTCAGCCCCTCCCCTCAATTCGACAAACAACAATATTGAGTGCTACCTTTTGATGTGGTAGTGATTATTCCAAGCCCCTGGAATATATGTCATACTCCACCTGCTTGATTGGGGGACTGAATTTAGGCAGGGGAGAATAAAGGATTCTGCATTTAGAGCTTACTGGGAAAGAATGCTGGCTGTAAAACCATACACTTGTATTGTGAGATGAAGAATGAAACAATTATTATTATTTCTGTAGTCCAAAATATCTGGAGGGCAGCAGGCTAGTAAAGGCTGCTTTAAGATGATATAATTACAGTATTGCATGACAACAAAACGGTTTGTGTCCCAAAGAACTGCTTCCCCCCTGTGGCGCAGTGGGTCAGTGCATCTGGCTGTTAACCAGAAAGTTGGTGGTTCAAGAACATAACAGAGCACCTGGGGTCCTATTCTAAGGGCTGCTACAGAGTTGGTGAGCCCATGTCTCTTGCCTGTGCCACTTGAACCCCTCTGCTCATTGAAAACCATTATGTCATTGAAAACGATTATGTCATGGAGAAAGACTCTAGCTTATTCTTCTCTGGTCTCTGAACCCTGGTGTCCCCCAAGCCCCAATTGAGTGCTCTAAGCACTACACCACACCAGTTATCTGGACCCTTGGCCTGACTCAGCAGAAGCATTCATCCCCGGTTCCTTGTCAAAACAGTTCTGCGAGCTGAGCCAAGGCTCTGTCTCCTGAGTCAGCTTTGGCAAAAGCACAAGCACCACATTTCTCGATGGAATTGGGTTCCCCGCCTCCAGACGGCCCTAACCATTGAGATCCCTGCCGCCTCTGCCGCCTTTGAAATGGTGTTGCATGCTGCTGTTTACCTTCCAGGTATCTTTTGGCCAGGCGCCCGTTCCCTGGGTGTGAGAGGGCTGATTCAGTCAGGTGGCATGAGAAGGGATGAGGAAGGAAGCTGAGTTCTCTCTCTCTCTCGGATGCAGCCGTGTGGCAAAAGAGGCTTTTCTCTTTCATGGTTATGTTTTCTTTGCTGACTGAACGCAGAGTCCTAAGCAAACACCATTTACTGACACCACCTAAAAAACACATATCAGGTTTCTTGTGCCAGGTTCCTCTGGGCAAGGGGATGTTTAGGTGTCAGGTAGCCTTGGTGCCCTCAGATGTTTTGCACTACAGCTCCCATCAACTCCAACCAGTGCTAGCAAGGGCTGTTGGGAGTTGTAGTACAGAAGGGCCGTGGTGGTGGGGGGCTGATGGGAGTTGTAGTCCAAAACATCTGGAGGGCACCCCATCGATGCAGGCCGTCTTAAAGGAAAGGCCAGCTCTTTGCCACAAAGTCCTTCCTCCTGTGCCTCGGTGTCCTCTTTGAAACAGAACAGGATGGGACTAAACTTGGAAGATTTGTTTTGATCCAGGATCACTATGTCCCTTGGCCTGACTTGACGTTTCAGGGTTTTGGTTTCTTTTGAAGCTCTATGCAGGTGGGAGAATGAGGGGGTTGGATTCTGAGGTGAAGTGAAACTGACTGAGATGTTTCAAGCCACAGTCAAGGAATGCCAATTTGAATGTTTCTAGAAAAGTAGCACCTTAGCCTGTGCCCTAGATCTGCTAGTTTTCTCCTTGCAGAGAGTTATTTCATGCAAGGGGACGTACCAAAGGGAAACCCTCCACCTGGCATCTGAAGTACTGTAATCCATTATATCACCTCAGAAGTTCACACAGCCTAATTCCCACCACATTCTGGGGCATGTGCAAATCTCACCTCAGGGTCTCTGAGACAAGACTTTCCTCAGGGTGAGAAGTTACCAGGCCCACCCTCCAGCTTTATCCTCCCTGCAGTTTACAGTTTAATCCACTCTTTATGTCTGGCGTGTTGTTCTGTACTAACTGTCCATCCTACCTTCCCACCCTTCCTGTGGAAGAAAGTGGTGTGGAGGGAGAGACCCCAACGAAGGTATAATCTACAGCAGCCGTTCTATCGGGCTATAAGAGCAGGAGAAGGACAGGCCTGTAGGGCTCTCTGGCCGTTCTGCCAAAAGATCATCACCTTTTTACTTCTCCCTGAAATATTTCCATTCCACCTGTCATTGGAAGAACTGTTACAGAGAAATAGTACCTGAGCGAAATTATTTTTTTCCTCCTCTGTTCCAGCCCCTTTTCCTTTTGTGTTGTGTCTTTAATCCTGAGGGTAGGAACTGACTTACCACTGACATTTGAAAGCTGTTTTGGCTGAAAAGCAGGGCAAAAACTTGTGACTGGCGGGGTGTGGAGACTTCAGCAAACTGCTACTTTCCTTTCCCCCAGCTTCAGCAGTAAAGCAGTAATAATGGTACCCTACTTTGCAGGGCTGTTGTAAGGTTACTGAGAAAACATAGGCAGCAAAGTGCCTTTCTGGGTGCAAATCTGTGCAAACGTTCTGGGAAGTAAACCCTGTTGCACTCAGTCGGACTTTCCCTGGAGTAAACATGTGTAGGGTTGCACTGTACACCGTGTTGATTACTTAATTAAAAGGCCATTGAGGAGACATGGGTCACCTTGAGCTCAGTCACTGCCTCTCAGCCTAACCTACTTCACAGGGTTGTTGTTGTAGAGATTAAATGAGATAGGGAGGAAGCCATGCGAGCCACTTTGAGCTCCTTGGGGGGAAAAGGTGGGATATAAATGCAATAAATAAGTAACAGCAGAGAGTTTACGGCAATGATAAGCTGCATATTTTTTAAAAAAAATGCAGCAATTATAGGCTGTGTTTAAAAATAAAATAAAACAATGGGGCCCTAAAATAAAATAAAAATATCTACACTAGCTGGTGAATCCCTTTTCCTGTACAGGGAGCTCCGCACGCACAGCCCCTCCTTGCCTGGGGAAGTCTCGGCAGTTTGCAGGCGGAGGGAGGAGATCCCACAAGCTGTGGCAGAGCCCAGGTATCTGTGCAGGCAGGTTTACCTGGACTCTCTGGCCTGTCCGCTTCCCTGGAGGCAGGAGGAGCCTTCTGCAGCTGGTGGTTCCAGCTCTGGAAAGGATCCACGGGAGGCCAGGCAAGGAGGACACCTCTGCTGCAGGGGCAGAAGGGCTCGAGGTGGGGTGGGAGCTGGGGGGTGGTGGAGAGAGGGAGGGGGCAGCGAGGCCCTTTTTCTAACATGCCATAAAAATGCAGCCAGATGCACAAGGTCTCCTTCAAATGCAGCGAGGGTCCTTTCTGGTTCCTGCTTCTCTGTGTTTTGTTAAAATGCCATGTTAAAAGGTCACCAGTTAGAGACAAAGAAATAAATTAATGGCAAAGAAAGAAATGTAAGACCACCCACAAGCCACGCTGTAGGGCTATCCTCACCCGACCTCACAGGGTTGTTGTGGCAGGGATTGAGCAAAGAGGGGGGAGAACCATGTAAGCTCCACAGAGAAAAAAGTGGAATATAAAGGCAAATAATCATACAGTGGTACCTTGGTTTAAGAACAGTTTAGTTTATGAACAACTTGGATTAAGAATGCTGCAAACCCGAGTGTTTTGGTTTGTGAACTTTGCCTTGGAATAAGAACATGTTTTGCTTCCGATTGAGTGTGTTCCATTTGTAAATTGAGTCCCCCGCTGCTATGGGAAAGCACGCCTTTGGTTTAAGAACGGACTTCCGGAACGGATTAAGTTCGTAAACCAAGGTACCACTGTAATAATAACAACAACAACAACCAAAACCTCATGCAAAGTGACAAGCAAGCGAGCTTTTGTGTCCTCCAGAGCTCTTCTTCAAGATGGCTGTTAAGAGGATGCAGCAGGGCAAGGTGGGGAGAGAGGAATAGAGAGAGAGTGAGCTAGATACAGTGGTACCTCAGGTTACAGATGCTTCAGGTTACAGACCCCGCTAACCCAGAAATAGTACCCCGGGTACTATTTTGCTTCAGGATGAGAACGGAAATCGTTCTCTGGCGGCACGGCAGCAGCAGGAGGCCCCATTAGCTAAAGTGGTGCTTCAGGTTAAGAACAGTTTCGGGTTAAGAACGGACCTCCAGAACGAATTAAGTTCTTAACCCGAGGTTAACCTTGGTTGTTGAACTTAATCTGTTCCAGGAGCCCGTTTTGACTCCCAAAACCGTTCGGAAACCAAGGCGCGGCTTCCGATTGGCTGCAGGAGCTTCCTGCACTCAATCAGAAGCCACGTGGGACATTCGGCTTCCAAAAAACAATCTGTGTTTGTGGCGTTCGGGAACTGATTTGTTCGGGAGCCAAGCCATTCGACAACCAAGGTACCACTGTACTTTTAAAGCCTGCAGACTTTGAGGCTTCAGCATCACGCCCAGGATTTTCTCCGCTCTGCTGTTGTTTTGCTCAACATTCTGCTGAATTGTCCTGGAGTGCTTGGACCTTGGGTAGCACTGACATTGCCCAGATTAGTGATGGTTTTATCATCTCTATTTCAGGGCTCTTCTGTTTGGGCCACATTTTATTCTGTTTTCCCCATGCTTTCTAGGCACTGGTCTGAGCAGTTTTTTCTTTTGCCCTCTCCGCTTTCCCTGAGAAAGACCCGTTGTTTACTGCTGAATTGGGACAAGTGTCAATCTGCAGGGAACCTGACTGATGTTCCTTAGGATTCAGTGGTAAACAGTTGGTTTCCCTAGAGGAAGTGGAAAACCTCTCGGAATTGTTCGTAGAAAAAATGGGACAAGCAGATTCAAGTGAGGATGAGCCCTTAATAGACTTTTTTTGGGTATTGTTTGAATTCTATTATGGTGTAAATATTTTTTCTAATGATTATGTTTCATATGAGTTTAGCTTTTTGTTTTTTATCCTTTTTTTGTATTTTATCCCTATACCTGCAGGTATAGGGTGGTATACAAATAATAATAATAATTAGCATAAGCTGCCTTGAGTCCTGGTCCAGTGAAGAAGTAGAATTATTATTATTATTATTATTATTATTATTATTATTATTATTATTATTATTATTATTTCCATCCCACCTGCACACAGATGAGCTTACGGGTTGTCACTAAACTCTTCCCTGTCTCCTCAGGTGTGCTGGCAAAAATCCTGGCATCCCAGAACAGCATCACTGCAGTGCTTGGCAAAGATGTGGTCCTCCCCTGTTCCTACAAGGTCTCAGAGGGCGAGAGGGTGGTTCAGATCACGTGGATGAAGCGGCGGGAGGACGGGACAGCCCAGGAGTTGGCGGTGCTGAACTGGCAACACGGGACCTACGTGCAGACTGCCTATTCAGGGCGAGTGCTGCGACAGTCCGAAGGATCCCTAGAAGACGGCTCCATCCTGCTGAAGAATGCGGTGCAGGCTGACGAGGGGGCATACGAGTGCCACCTCATTACCTTCCCTGGGGGCAGTTTTGAGTCCAGCCTGACCCTCAAGATCCTAGGTAAGGACCTCCTAATGAACCCTCAAACTGAGCCCTGGATCTGACTTGGGTGGTAGATCTCTGTCTGGGCTGGCTCCAGGTGAGGTCTGCAGAACTGAATGCTGTGCAGTTAAAACCAATCCCTGCACATACAAAGCTACCATATCAGGGAAAACGCTCTTACATTAATCTTCCTGAAATACTAGCGTTGTTGTTTTTTTATCTTCAGGGATTATTATTTTTTAAAATGCATATATTGGATTATTGGATATAGAGGTTGCTTATTTTAAAGTCATATTTTTATCGTGACTTATTTGCCTTGAATTGGGTTGTTTATGGGATGTGCAACCCTTGTTGCATATTTTGTGCTTTCTACCAGCGAGCAAATTGCCTTGGGTATAGCAGTGCAGAAAGAGGGGATACAAATTAAAAGTGAAATGACACAAAATGCATATACAGTGGAACCTCTGTTGTCAAACGCTTCGGAAGCCGAACAATTCGGAACCCGAATGCCAACAACCCAGAAGTGAATGCTTCCGTTTTTGAACGTTTTTCGGGAGTCAAACAGCTTCCGGGGAGTTTTTTTTCCTTTTTTCTCCATTGAACTTGCTGGCAGCCCTTTGATCCTTGGTTGTCGAATGTTTCGGAAGTCGAATGGTCTTCCGGAACGGATGACGTTCAGCAACCGAGGTTCCACTGTATGTCTTTGCATGGAGAAGTATTCATATACCCCAACCTCTGCTTGCAGCCTGAAGTCTGAGACTCAAAGTGTACACAACCCCCCCCCCACACACACACCAGCACACACTTCATCCTGGTGTAATCTGACGGGTGGGAACCAGTTCCTTTGCCGAGTTTCTGGGAATGTTCACACTAAATCTGTTACCCACCATGGCTGTTAAGCCACTGTGGGGGTCTTCTTTCATAAAATCATAGATTTGTAGAGTTGGAAGGGATCCCCAAGGGGTCATCTAGTCCAATCCACCACACCCACACACACGCTGTGCAGGAATCACAACTAAAGAATCACTGGCAAGAGGCCTCCAGCAAAGGAGAGCCCTCCACCTTCCCATGGAGGCCATTCCACTATCTCCCCCCCCCCAAAAAAATTTTTTTATTCATTTTATAACACAAATAAACAACACAAACAGGAAAACAAACAATACAAACAGATTCTCGTCTTATCCTTATTTTTTTCTAAACATTGTTAGGTGGGCTTCCCCAAGTCCCCCCTATCTGATTTTCATTTTACCTCATCTTTAGCATTTTACATATATAATAATTTCTAACCATTCTTTTTATCACACTTACTTTAACCATACAAATCTTCACATTTTATCACTTGCAAATAATACTATTTTAAAATACACTGTCTTCTACTTCTAACCCTGCAGCCTAAATCCACTTCCAAAGCTATTCTAAGATTTAAATATTAACATATTTTTTTCAAATATTCCTTAAACTTCTTCCAAACTTCTTCCACCATCTCTTCTCTCTGGTCTCGGAGCCATTCCACTATCTTAACCGCTTTTTGCCCTCAGAAAGTTCTTCCAGATATTTAGCCGCATTTTCCTCTTCCTCTGGCTGCAGTTCCCCCATTGCCCACCTTGAACCTTGGCCCCCCGCTGGAGGAAGGGCAGGGCCGGACTCTGGCTGCCTCATGCACTGCGGAAGGGAACCCCGTGCCCACGGTAACCTGGGAGACGGAAGTGCGCGGCACGGACAGCAGCCGCGTGTCCTCGCACCCCCGCTCGGCCTCCGTCACCAGCGAGTTCTACGTGGTGCCCGGGCGGAGCATGCACGGCAAGGCCCTCACCTGCATCGTCTCCCACCCGGGGCTGCAGCACAAGAAGAGGATCACACACACCCTCAACGTGGCATGTGGGTATCTGCCGGCCCTCTGGGGTGGGTCGAACCATCGCCGCACAGAAGGGGTGGTGTGGGGACTTTCTCGGCACAAGAGTCCCTCATATCCCCTCAGGGACCTACCTTTCAAGGACAATGTGTTTCAGGTGGATGTGGCCGGAGGCAAAACTAGCCAGAGCCACAAGGTTAGCTCTTAAGTTTAGGCCGGGCATTTAAGGCACATTTAAAGCAAACGGCTGTGGGGAACTGTAGTTTCCACAACTGAGCTACATTTCCCCATAATCCACGGAAAACTGCAGTTCCCAGAGTTCTTTGGGGGAGGTTATGTGCAGTGGATGTGCTTTAGATGTATGGTGTGTGGCCTGTTGTACATAGAAAGTCAGTTTTCTCTGTGTACACATGCACACCCCTCGATTCTCCATCTGAGCAAGCAAGAGGCATGTTCACAGTTGAAAGGGACATTCCCACCAAGAAAAAGGACCCAAGGAGGGTGCTGTGCAAGCCAACCAGGGGTGGGGTCTAGGGAGGTGGACATGGCATGAGAACAGTCCTGAGGGCCAGATAGGAAAGCCCAAAGGAGCCACCTTGTGACCTGGGGCTGTCGTGCCTCACCATTGTCAAACCAAGATATCTGGCCCAAAGCTAAGGCTAAACAGTGATTTGGCACAATTCATGAATTTGATCCAGCAATTTGCAAAATTTGTCTAATCATTTTACTGATTCTTTAGAATCTTTATTTGGGAGTAATTCCTGAACTTCTGAGTAGACATGAGCAGGCCTGTGCTGTTAATCTCCGACTTCCGCACACACACACACGTGGGATGTCTTTGAGACCTTTGAGCACGCAGCTCCTTGAGGGGAACTCTGCTGAGAACTCTCAGCACCCTGAACAAGCCACACTTCCCAGGATCCTCTGGGGGAAGCCTTGGCAGTTTAAAGTGGTGAGATTCTGCTTTAAAAGGCACAGTGCAGGGGGCATGGGCTGCCTTCTCCTCTCTGCCACTTTGACCTCTCTACACATTGCCTCCACGCAGATCTGTCGGATGCCTCAGTCCTGGGCCACGAAGAGGGGGAAGATTGGGTCGCAGGAAAGGAAGGGGCATTCCTGAAGTGCCTCGGAGATGGGAACCCCCCGCCAACTTACAACTGGACACGGTCAGTCGCTTTTCTGTGGTGCAAGAGATGGCTTCTTCTTTCTAAACAGGGAAGAGGTCTGGAGTTTTGTTTCTTTATTCAGAATGGGGTAGTTGCCAGAGGCAGAAAAGTAGGTGTGGCCAGAGGCCAAGGGTGGGTGTGGCCAGTGGGGGTGACTATAGGTAGTGGGTGTGGCCAGAGGCAAAAGCAGGCTACATTCCAGCCTCAGAAAAGTAAGGCATTCCTACACACACCTAAGCAAAAGGTATTTTTCACATCCTGAGCATACATTCCAGCAAAAGCACTTGAGGAGAGAGCATGGAGCAGGAGCCCTGAACAAGTGTAAACTGGGAGGGGGGCATGGCCCAAAGAGAACTCCGAGGGTAAGATAGGGAGGTCCCAAGGGCCACATTGGGCTCCTGGGGCTACAGCCCCAGCCCCCCTCTTTTGTGGTGATGAGATTAGAATTTCAGACAAGGACGCTGAAGAGCCAGATTCATATCTGTCACAGGGCTCTCTGGTTTAGCTTGGGCCATCAGACTCTCTCACCCTAACTTGTCTCGCAGGGTTGTGGTGAGGATAAAATGGTGGGGGGAGGAATAGGACACATGGCCTGCGTATGCCTCCAGCTCCTTGAGGGAAAGGTAGGATAGGAATGTGAATCATCTGAAGTTTTTTAAAATCAAAGAATGTATACCTGAGTTTTTAATTCCAGGAATTTACGCAGTAGTCGTTTATTAAATTTGTATGCCGCCTGCCCTGGAGCCTCTAGGCATTCGGAATAAGAAATGCAATTAAAAATCCATAAATGCAATTGTATAAGAACATCAACAGCCCATCTCTCCAGCTGAAACATTTTGAAAACCGTGCTTGCCGTAGGAGCCAGTTTTTCTAGTCTGCATCCCAGATAAATCACAGGTCTTGATCTTGTCCCAGTTTTTTTTTCTTTGGAGGATGCTTTGTTAAAATCGATTTGAATTCTGCAGATGCCCTATCTCTGAATAATGTGTGGCTGTGTCTTTATCTCTTACCCACTCATGCAACAATGTACATGCACAAATTTTAAGGTGGCATGCTGTGGTCAGTCTGGCATTTCGCACATGGAAAATGGGCAAAAGCGTTTTGAGGTGTTGGTAGCAGTTTGCAGGACAGACGCTGCCTTGACTTTTACAAGAGTGTTGCAGTCAGCCCCAGTCTCCAAACAGCGAGAGACTCCAGGGGTGCCTGCACTTACCCAGGGTTCAATTTCTTTGGAATGAAGTGCCAGTGGAGACCGTGGTGCCTTTCGGATATATGGTTTTGCTTGGCTTTAAAAGAGGATCGTACAGATTTATGGAGAAGAAGGCTATAGCCACGATGAAGACTGTACTCTGCCTCCAAGTTGGAGGCAGTAATGCTTCTGAATACCAGTTGCAGGAGAGGAGAGGCCTCTTGTTCCTGGGTCCTGCTTGTGGGCATCCCTTTGGGGCACCTGGTTGGCCACTCTGAGAACAGGATGCTGGACAAGATGGGGCATGGCCCTCATCCAGCAGGGCTCTTCGAATGTTCTTATATCCTACCTTCCACGTGTTACAGAAGCCCTGTGCATTGCAGATGATTCTTGGGTGTGTTTTTCACAAGTCCATTCTGCTCCCACCATAGCTGTCAACCTTCCTTTTTTTTACGGGAAATTCCCTTATTCCAGTGCCGTTTCCTGCTGCTATCCCGGATTGTTAGATATCCCATAGACTGTCCCTGGGACAGGTGAGGCTGCTGATCCCTTATTTTCAAGGCTGCTGATCCCTTATTTCCAAATCTGAAAGTTGACAGCTATGGCTCCCACTGTTGCTGACTAGGCCTCATGGGGCCTCAGCATTGTCTGACATGAACAAAGAATGAGCCTGGTCAGTAGTGCAGCTGGGTCTTGGAGCCAGAAGGTCCCCAGGTGACCACCCAGAGAGTGGCAGGTTATGGGAGCCACAGCCAACAAGCCTGGCATTGGCACCTGGGCTGCTAGAAGCAAGGCAGGGCCCACTGGGGCAGATGTTTGTTTCTGTAGAACCCTTTCTGTATTTTTTTAAGGTGGCCATGAATGCACATGGTAATAGATTCTCACTTGATTATCCCTTTCTACAACAAAATGGTGCTTGTTATTCCTGGGTTAAAACCAGGGCAGCAGAAGCAAATGCCATTTTGTTCCTGTGGTCATGATGGTGCTGTGAATTCAAGGCAGGCGTGCAACGTGCTCAGAGCATTAAAAGAAAAATAAATAAATCCAGAGTTGGCAAACCGTTTTGGTTTGTTGCTGTGAGATATCAAGAATGTAGAAGCATGGAATTAGGGGAGAGAGAGTACAGAAATGGGAAGTGGGTGCTTTACAACTGGCTACCCAAACGACTTCCGGGTTGGCGCGATCCGGGAATGGCGGATTCCCTCCGAGCTCCGGAGGGAATCGGCTCAGCGGTGGATGGGTCTTTGCCGTGCCGGCGACACGGGGACCCTTAAAAACCGCAGGTGCAGATGCCTGCGGACTGAAGACTCGGCGGGTGCCTTAAGCGCCCCCCTGATTCGCGAAGAGCCTTTTTAAAGGCTATGGAGGGGATACGGGGGACGGCGCGGCACTGAGAGTCGATCGCTACCGCCGCTGAGCGAAGCCGCGAGCCATAACTGGAGAGCGCTGACTTCCTTCCTTGAAATTCGGACTGAAAAAAAAAGAACCCGTGAGTAATTTGGAACTGAGCTTTAAAAACTTTTACCTTTTGAATTTGAGACGACCGGGGGGGTGTGCCAAAAGGAAGTCCCCATCCCCCCCCCTTGCAGACGATCCAGAGCAACGATATAAGAGCTAAGCTGGAGTGCCTACCCTGTAAAGGGTGAGTTTTAAAAAAAGACAGTAACTTCCAAGATTTGGAAAAGTAAATTTAAGCAGGAGAGTGGAGTGTTGGAAGAGTTTTTGTTTTGTGGTAAACAACCCTCCCTCCCGAGCCCGGGAGCGATCTGCTTTGGAGCCTGTATAGAGGAGCAGAATTTGACAGCTGTCAAAGCTGTCAAATGGACTGTTAATACTGAAAAAATTGCTACTTAAGACCTCTCCGGATAAAAAAGAGTTACAATTGAACTAAAATTTTGGGAAACAAAGAAACAATAATAGGACAGAGGATTGTTGGAGAAAAGACCATCCAGTAACCAGATTCCCTCTAGGGGGAATTCTGTGGAATTACAATGGCTGTGGGTGGAAAGATACTGAGAGAAATCGAAAGGATGTTTTCACTGGTGGGAACCTTACAGGAGCAGACTACAGCTATGAGTAAACAACTGACGGCCTTGGATTTGGAAACAAGTAGCTCTGCTGAATGTAATGAGGATTTGAATGAGAAAGAACCCACAGCTGAATTTGAAATAATAAACAAAGAAGAGGAGAAGACAAAACAAGAAAGAGAACAAGTTATGTGGGAAAATGCTAACCAGAAGCCGATATTTGGAGAATACAAACAAGGAGACCATTGGATGGAATCTATTCCAAGCCTACGAAAGATACAGAAGATGAAAGTGGAGGCCCTGGGAGTTTATGGAACTCAGGAACTCGAAATAAAGAAGTACAATTGGGGCCTCCACATAGATTTTGATTTTGACCACCATCAAGACTCAGGCCTTGTGGAAATTCCTCAGCAGTTGCTTATAAATATGGGAAGAGACTATGGACTGATTGGATTGAATGTTAATGAAATCTTTCGAGACTCGATGACTGACAAAGAGGACTACCAACAAAACCGGCGGAGAGGGACTGAAATAGATTTGAGAGCCTCGGATGTGCGGAATCCAGGCTAAAAACTGTTATTTTGGACATGTCTTGGGAAAGGACGCAAAGCGGGGATGGGAGGGAGGGAAGCATAAGCTTAAATAACACTCAAGACCAGGGGTTTAGTAATAAGGAAATTACTTAAGAAAAAATGAGAAATCGAGGGAAGAGAATTGGGGTCCAACTTAGGGAAAACTTAATTTTTGATTCTATAAAATGACTAATATTAAGAAGGAAGAAATGCTAACTTGCTGACATAAACCTGGGAACAGGGATGCAAGGGAGGGGGTGGGGGGAAGTCAAGGACTAGGGTTAGAAAATAAGACTTTTTGGAACTATTCATGTTTGTTGTTGTTTTTATTATGTTTGTTTTGGTGTTATGTGTTTTGTTTTTGTCTTTATAAAATGTGAAAACCCAATAAAAATTATTATAAAAAAAAAAAAAAAAAAACTGGCTACCCAAAGGGGGCACCTTGTAAGACCATTAAGGCCAGGTTCTAAAATGACCCAGCTGCACCAGTAAGCTTCTCCCAGTAAGCAGTTCCCAGTAGGCTTCCAAGGAGCTCCTCACAGATGCCCTAGAAAAACAGAGTTGAAGAACCCCTGGCCTACTAGGACAAAGTGGGCATGGCAGGCTGGGAAGAGTTCTGTGGCAGAGTGCCCTCTCTGCAGGCAGCCGGCTGCTCAGCTTGAAGCCAGGGGGAATGAATCCTGCCCTAGCGCTGGGAGCCTCTGGAGGCAGCCTGTGCCCGTTGGGGCGAGCAACAGCCGAGCCAGCCCCCACTCCTCAAGCACCCGCCCCTGGGGCAATCCCTAACCCGCGTGACACTTTCCCGGGATGCAAATCCAGGATTGCACCACCAGAGGAGTCTGGGGCAGCTTGGCATCTCCCAGCGCCAGCCTTGGACGCCTGCCTGGCCCGCCTGACACCGTCTGGGTGCCAGCTACGAGATGCGTTTCCTGACGTCCCACAGAGAGCTGGCAAGGCTTGCTCCTGGCAGCCCCTCTTGCCCCAGGCGCCCAGGCTGGGGTTCCTTCCCTCCTGCCCCCCAAAAGACAGCTGCAGCAGTGCATCTGGGTGGCAACCACTTGCCCGCTTGGCCGTTCCATTCCCAGCCAGCCAGCGGTGCACCTGATCTGGGCTGGCTGCCGCAGAGAGCTCCCACGGATCCCATTCAAAGGGAAGGCTGATCCTCCATAAACACTTATTCATCACTCAGCCATCCCGGCCTGCCTCTCGAGCTCTTTTTTTTTTTTTTTTTTTGCGCTCCGAGGGACTGGCTGAGACTTGCTGTGGGTTTCGGGGAAGCAGCCCCGGGCCAAGATGCACCTTGTAGCCTTTTGTGGTGAGCGAAGGTGGCGGGGGGGGGGGAGACAGTGAAAAACCAGCCAAGTCAGCACAGGGCTGGGGGGTGGGCGTGGTGGATGGATGAGGCTTTGCACAGGCCAGGTTGTCGGGGGGGGGGGGCAGGAATGAGATTCTTTTGAGGTCTGCCTGCCTTTTTCAGAGGTGCAGCAGTTCGGCAGGAAACATGGCCTCTGTAGAGAGCTGCACAGCTGCTTATCAGCCAGGAAGTGGCCAGGATTTCATCCTGCTGGCATGCCTGCAAAGGCAGAGGACTCAGTGTCAGTACAGTCATACCTTGGAAGTACGTTAGACTTCCAAAACGTTCGGAAACCAAGGCGTTGCTTCCAATTGGCTGCAGGAAGCTCCTGCAGCCAATTGGAAGCCAGGTCGGACATTCGGGTTCCAAAGAATGTCTGCAAACCGGAACACTCACTTCCAGGTTTGCGGCGTTCAGGACCCAAAACATTCGACTCACAAGGTGTTCGGGATCCAAGGTATGACTATTGTCCTTTTCTGCAGAAAGACTGAGAAGGCAGGGTGGATAGTTGTGGGGCGGAGAAAGCTGGAAGGTGGGTCCCTTGCCCTGGAGGCCCTGAGATGAGATCTGCACATGCCCCCAGGACACATTTGGAGTAACCTGGACAAAATTGCCTTTTAAAATTAAAAGTAAAAGTATCTAAAGGGCAGACCTTGGTGACCATTTGTTTTTTAAATATGGCATGATTTTATTTCTTACGCAAATATTGAGGCGCCATCAGTATATGCAAATGTCTGGCTAATTTAAAACTATCTAGGACCTTGATTCTCAATAAAACTGATGGAACTCGCAGGTGGAGAATACTTTTTTATTTTTATTTTTTTAAAAAAATCTTTATTATTTGTAAAGGGAATATCAAATCAATATTTTATTATGCCTTTGGGGCTGTGATGTGTCTTTGTACTGCAATGCTTTAAGGGTTAAACCAGGGGTTTTCAGCCCATGTACTGTGGTACCCTGGGGTGCCTTGAATGATAGGGATGCCACAAGCAACACTGGCCTCTGTCCCTCTGATGCCTTCTCACATCTCTGCCTCCCAAAGGCTTGCACAGCTGTTTGTTGCAGCAGCCCTGGCTACCACTCCCTAAGGCAAATGGTGCCTCTGGCGCTGGTCAGGGGGTGCTTTGAGAGACCAGGGGCGGTGGCAGCAGCTGCCCAGAAGACTCCCAAGGAGAAGAGAGAAGAGAGGAGGCTGAGGGAACACTCCACAAGGGAGGGTGTTCAAAATAGGGTGAGAAGCTGTCCATAACTGGGCTCCTGAGCCCCACAGGGGTGCCGCAGAAAGAATGTAATTGGTCACGGGAACCGTATGGACTCAAAAAGGTTGAAAACATCTGGGTTAAAATGTTGATTCTTTGTTTTCTTTCCTTTTGTCATGTTTGCTGTGAACAAATAGATAAATTTAAAAGGCGGTGGGGGGAAGGAGCTAAAGGAAGGGAGGAAAGTTTTGCCCTTTGCAAACACTGTTAAACGTGTGTGTGTGTGTGTGTGTGTGTGTGTGTGTGTGGACAAGAGGCTCCTGTTGATGCACCCATGCGCATATATGTCCTCGCTCTTTCCCCACATGCAGATGTCTTCCCCCACATGTGCATATGTGTCAGTTGCATGTGCGTGCGGGTTGGGAAGGGCACAGCGCTGTTGCCTCGGCCGGGCTCCGCTCGCCGGCTCAGACGCTTTGCCGAATCTCTGCGCAGAGTTTGGGGTGCTGTCTGGACATGCTCCGGCACCCAGCTCAGCTATGCAAGAGACCCGTGGGAAAAGGGAAGGGATCCCTTTGATTTCAGCACCTATTGTTCATGATGTCATGGCTGACCCCGCCCTCCTCTTCCCTGCCCCCCCTCCCCTTGTGCCCCACACCTCCCCTCGCGAGCCTGGACATGTTGCTGAGGCGGGGAAGCGGCAGAAAGGGCGAGAGCATCTGGTTCAGGAGTTCCTGGCCCTTGCCATTCCTCTTTTCCTCTTGCGAGGCGACTTTGGGGCGGTGCCTCTCCCTCTGGCAAAGGCCCTCTGACACCCCGCAGCTGAAAATAGGGACATACTTGCAATGTTTTTAAGAGAAAAGGTGAAGAAGAGGCAACACGATGGAAGTGTAGGAAAATTACACATGAAGTGGAGAAAGAGACGTTTTCCCTTCCCCTTTCAGCATAAAACGGCTTCAATTCCCCACTCAGCCATGAAGCTCACTGGGTGTCATCTTGGGCCAGCTGCTGCCTCTCAGCCTAACCCACCTCATAGGGTTGTTGTGGGGATTAAATGAGGAGGAGGAGAGCCATGTACAGTGGTACCTCAGGTTACATATGCTTCAGGTTACATATGCTTCAGGTTACAGACTTCGCTAACCCAGAAATATTGCTTCAGGTTAAGAACTTTGCTTCAGGATGAGAACAAAAATCGTGCTCCAGCGGAGCAACGGCAGCAGGAGGCCCCATTAGCTAAAGTAGTGCTTCAGGTTAAGAACAGTTTCAGGTTAAGAATGGACCTCCAGAACGAATTAAGTACTTAACCTGAGGTACCACTGTATATCACTTTGAGGTCCTTGGAAAAGAATAGTGTATAGAAAGGCAATAGATAAATAAATCTGGAGTAGAAAATATACATACATGGCTCTGAGTACAGAGAGTACATGGTGTGGTGGTTGGAGTGTTGGACTAGAACTTGGGAGACCAGGGTTCAAATCTTCACTTGGCCGTGAAGTCCACTGGGTGACCTTGGGCCAGTCGTGGCCTCTCTGCCTAACTTAACTTCACGGGGTTGTTGTGGGGAATAAATGAGGAGGGGGAGAGCTGTGTATGCCACCTTGAGCTCCTTAAAGAAAAGGCTGGGATATAAATGCAATTGAATGAATGAATGAATGAATGGAAATTTAAGACATCCCATGAATGGTTCAGGACAGATCACAGAAAGTCCTTCATGCAACGCCTAGTTAAACCATGGAACTGGCTTCCACAGGAGACAGTAATGGCCCACCAACTTGGATGGATTAAAAGAAGTTTGGGCAAATTGGATGGATTGAAAGAAGTTTGGACAAGTTTATGGAACAGGCTAGTGATGACTCCTAGCCACAGTGGCTCAGCTCTGCCTCCACAGTCAGAGAGGCAGCAATGCTTCTGAATACTGGCTGCTAGATAACACAGGACCAGGTCATCTTTAATCAAATGATGCAGCAGTGTGTGTGTGTGTTTGAAACTGCCCATTTGGGAGGTGATGAATAGGCACCTCTCTGTGACTTAGCAGGTGCTGCACATCTTGAGCAGTTGAGTTCAAGGCACTGGCAAAACTCTAGTTGTCAAAAGAAGACCCAGCAAGAATCTGGCTCCGCAGAGATAAAGGTGTTTTCCCCACCCCTTCCTGACTTGGTCTCCTCTCTCTGCCCAGGCTCAATGACCCCCTCCCCAGCGGAGTGAAAATCAAGGGGGACACCCTGCTCTTCCAGAGACCCCTTAACTCTGAAGATGGAGGCGTCTATGTTTGCCAAGTGGCCAATGGCTTTGCAACCAAGGAGGCTGAGACGACCATCAGCATAAAAGGTACCATTCTGGGACAGCTCAGAAACGGGTGGCAGAGCTGATTTGGCTTGTCTATGCTAGACAACAGCCCAGGCCACATTCATACCATAGCTTTCAAGCACTAAGGCACTGCTTTAAACCACCATGGCTTCCCCCAAACAGTTTTGGGAGCTGTCGTTCATGAAGGGTACTGAGAGTAATTAGGAGGCCTCTATTCCCCTAACAAAACCTACAGTTCTCAGAGTTCCCTGGGAAGAGGGATTGACTGTTAAACCACTCTGGGAATCATGCCTCTGTAAACACTCGTTTCAATGTTTCTTTTAAAAGTAATTTTTTTAAAAAAAACTTAAAAGAAACCTGCTCCAGTTTTGAGGGTTGGTGACGTGCCCATTTCTAGCCAATCAGTGCTGTGCCCACCACTAGCTGTACACACACATTTTTTGTTTCCTCAGAATTTGATAGAGGGGAGAAGATAGGGGACTAGGTCCTCTCCCCCCCCCCCCCGATGTGTGGTGGGGGAATAAAAGGGCTTGCCTTCCCTCCTCTCTCACCTGGCAGCCATAGGACAATTTTGCCTCTCCTTGTAAGGAAGCCACTCCTTCTGTAACTCTCTAAAGATCTGTCCTTCAGAGGAACTGGTGCTGTAGGACTTTGGGCAAGGGGGTGATTTGTGGGTTTCTTCCAGTCCCATGCAGAGAAGCTCAACGTGGCCTTCATGCATCACTGCCATGGCCTACTCCCCTCTCTTTTTCTTATCTCTCCCAACAGGCAACCGGGCCAAGCAGGTGGACGTGGTCTCCATCTCCATGATTGGGGCAGGACTCATCTCTGTAGTGCTGCTTGGCTTGCTGGTCCTGGTGGTCATACTCATGACTTGCTACCACAAGAGGAAGACCAAACGCATCACTGAGAAATAGTAAGCAAATGGGGAAAGAACCATAGAATTGGAAGAGACCCAAAATGTCATCTAGTCCAACCTGAAAGCACTTCACATGACATTGTTTTGGTGTTATTAGCCCTCTACTGTCCCCCTTCTGGTCCCCCCGTTACCTTTTGAGCCGGAGTAAGGAACTGGATTTGGCTAGTGGGCTGGATCCTTACCTCCCCCACTGTGGGCTAAGTTTCACAGATGAGTGGGGACACCCACCTGCCAATCACTTGGCATCACGATGACGATGGTGCCTGTATGGACAATCAGCTGGTGGTTGGGGCTTGCAAAGCACCTCGTACAGAGGCGTGCAAGCCCTGGCAATCACTTGATCATCGGGGCTTGTCAGTGCCCTTTGGTCCAGCCACACGCTTGCCTGCCCCACTCCTGAGGTCATACAACCTACGCAGGGGTTACGTTCTGGGAATCACACCATGCTGAATCTCTAGTGGTGGAGTGTCCTGTAGGACCAGGCCAACTACACCAAAGGCTTGGTTTCTCGTCATTGTCAAATGAGCCCCGCCAACTCAGGGTATGACCAACAGCACTTCTGCAGATAATCTCAGGGGCTGAGCTGGGCTCTCTGGGTTCAGGCTGTCCCTGAGGCACCCTGGAGCTAAGTTGCTATGGGCTTCATTAAATTTATTTGAACGGTGAACCTTCTGGCCAAACTAAGAGACCTGTCAATCGTGCCATCTGGTGCCACGTCTGGTGCCTTGGCGCGCAGTGAGATATTCCTGTTAGGCAGAGGGCAAGGGGGGGAAATAGCTGTCTCACCTGGCTTCTCCACCTCCTTGTGTCCGGCAGCGAAGAAGAGCTGACACTGACCCGGGAGAACTCCATCCGGCGCCTCCACTCCAGCCACAGCACTGACACCCGGAATCAGGTGAGGGTCAAACAAAAACATCTTGGAGGTCCCAGGCCACAGGGAGATTAGGCTGGCCTCAACCAGAGCCAGGGCTTTTTTGGCTGTGGCCCTGATCTGGTGGAACGCTCTGTCACAAGAGACTAGGGCCCTGCAGGACCTGACTTCTTTCCGCACAGCCTGCAAGACAGAGCTGTTCCACCAGGCCTTTGGCCAAGACACAGTCTGACCCCTTCCTTTGCTAATCCTCATAGAACTCTAGCCCAATGGTTGCCATTAATTTGATTTTGAATTGATTTTAGAATGAATTGATTTTAGAATGCTGTGTTACTTTTATTGTTGTTAGCCACTCTGAGCCCGGCTTCAACTGGGTAGGGCGGGATATAAATAAATTATTATTATTATTATTATTATTATTATTATTATTATTATTATTATCATTATTATCATTATTATTAATAAAGAGAGTGTGGGAGTCCCTGTGGATTGGCTGGGGAGGGATAAGAAGGCACAGACTGGGCTTTTCCATGGAAAGGAAGTGGGTGGGGATAGAGAGCCCCCTCTCCTTTCATAAAACTGTAGGGTTGGAAGGGAACATAAGGGTCAACTAGTCCAGCCCTTGCAATGAATGCAGGAATCCCAGCTAGAGAATCACTGACAAGCTATCCAACCTTTGTTCAAAAACCTCCACCGCTGAAGGAAAAAAGCAGTGCTTTGCTTGTTCTGGGCATCTCAAGTCTGATACAGTTGGCCAGATGGCTCTGGGAGGCTCAGACACCATCCTGGTCTGCACAGATAGACTGCCTCTGAACTTGGAGGCGCCCATTTATCCATGGCTCCTGGCAGGGCTTCCCCACACAGCTCTGAGCTTTAGAGCTCCATGTCTGAGTGTTTTGCTCAATTGGGGCAAACATCAATCTGGGTTTTCCGTTTGCTCCGATTCAGCTTTAAAGGGAGGGTTTTTGCTCCAGTGCAAAAAAAAAAAAAAAAAGGCGCTCAGACACAGAGCTTTAAAGCACAGGCGGTGCCTGGAAAGAACAGAGGAAAGGTAAGTGATGAAAAGCCTGCAGTTGATAGAACTTTGAAGCCTCTTTTTCTCCTCTTCCTTTGCTGCAGAGCTGAGCCCATGGAAGTTCTTCAGCACCCTCTAGAGGGAGCAAGTGGAATAATGTAAACACGCACACAAGCCACCTTTCTAAATATGAGAAGGGCTGAGCTCAGATCTTACTTGAAGCCACCTTCTCTGACCTGGGAAATGCTTGTGGTTGCCTCACCTCAAAAGGGATATTGCAGAGTTGCAAGAAAGGTTCAGAAAAAGGGCAACAAAAATGATCCAGGGGATGGAGCTGTTGCTCCCCTACTCTTTCATCATAACGCTAGAACTCGTGGGCATCCAGCAAAGCTGAATATTCAGGACACCTTTTTTTAAAAGTGACTTCTTCACGCAGCACTTAGTTAAACTATGGAATTCACTTCCATAGGAGGCAGGGATGGCCACCAATTTAGAGAAGGGACCCCAAGGGTCATCTATTCCAACTCCCTGCAATGCAGGAATCGCAGCTAAAGAATCCCTTTGGATGGCCGTAAGAGAGGCAGATTCATAGAGGAGAAGCCTATTAGTGGCTACAGGCCATGGTGGTTATGCTGTGTCTCTAGAGACAGTAGTGCTTCTGAATACCAGTTTCTGGAAACCACAGGAGGGGAGAGGGCTGCTCTTGGGCTCGGATCCTGCTTGCGGGTTCCCATGGTGGATGGAGTCTGCTTGACCACTGCGAGTGCAGCATATTGAACTAGATGAACCATTGGTTTCCTCCAGCAGGCTTTGCACACAGTCAGTCCCCAGGTTCTCCAGAGCTCAGATGGCATGATTTGAGAACCAAATCAGAGCTCAGTAATATTTATATGTGACTCTTACACCCTGCCTTATATGCCTGCAAGGGGCTCAAGGTGGCAGATGTGGGTGGCTTCATCCCCCCCACATTTCCACCTCGCAACAACCCTGCGTGGTAGGTTAGAGAGAGAGAGAGAGAGGGAGAACGGACGAGTGGCTTAATTGTGGAGTGGGCAACTTTTAACAAGCGCTGCAAGTTTCACTTCCCTGTTACCATCTCTTCACCATCGCTTCCCTTCCCCATGCCCTTGTTTGTTTTCAGATGGAAGAAAACCTTCCCTTGAGGTCAGAGAGCCGGCAGGGCAGCTTCCGTGGGGACAGCCTTTGCCGGGAGAGCCTGCGAGCCGACAGCCTCTGCCGGGACAGCCGGCAGGGCAGCTTCCGAGCAGACAGCCTGCGTGAAACCAGCCTCTGCTCTGTCATGGTGAGCACCAAGCCCTGTTGTCCTTTCAGTATCCAGCACCTCCTCCCAGTCTTCCCCCTCTGACCTCTCCTCCGTGTCCCACCACCAATCCCCGGACTCTGAGCCTTCCACCTCTGGGGCTTCCCCGGCTGCTGCCTCCCACCGCTGCTCTCTGCCCAGCCAGTCTCTGGCAATCTGGAGCATGACACGCTTGCTGGAAAAAATTCTATTCTGCCAGGCCTGTGCAGGCAGTTAAGAGCACATCTTGCCACAACGGTCGATCTATATATTATTTATTGCAAATAATCTATCCACCACTTGACTGCAAAAAATCCTCAAAAGCGGTTTGCAAAAAAAGATCAAAACAAGAAAGTTATCTCTAAGGAAAATCAACAGCGACAATAAAATGATTACAGCTGTGGTCCAAGGGTTTGTTATTCTGACTGGAGTGTAATGGAAATTTGTAAGATTTTGTAACGCAGAAGTATAGTAAATCATCAAACCAGCAATTGCAGCACGTGGGGGGCGGCACCTATATTGTATAATTTGTCTTTTGAATGAGCGGCATTTTTAATGGTACTATAATTTGGCATTGTTATAATGAGGCTTTTGTTGGATCGAAAACAAATAAAAATGAATTAAGAAATAAAAAAAATTATTAGCAAGAAAAATAGCCAACAACAATTTAAGACTTCTGAAAAGTTAAAACAGCAATAGACCTAAAGTGAATTAAAAGATTAAAAATCTTAACTTTTTAAATATGGTTTTCATTGTTTGGTGTCATGTATTTTTGTTGTGAACCACTTTGTTGCGATAGATAGGTAGATGATAGATAGATAGATAGATAGATAGATAGATAGATGATAGTTTTTTTCTTAAAAAAATATATGTTTAGGGGTACTCTCATTTTGACTCAAGAAAATCACCATTTTATAGGGAAAATAAATACAGTAAATGGACAAAAGCACAAAGATTCACAAAATGTTTAGGGGTATGCGTACCCCTCTGTCCCCCTAGAAAAAAGCATTGTGTGTGTATGGGAGAAATATCTGACACCCTGCTTCTCTCTCCGGCTCAGAGCGAGGAGGCCGAAGGACGTAGCTACTCCACCTTGTCGACGGTGCGGGAGATCGAGACGCAGACAGAGCTCCCCCCGCCACCCCCCACCCCTGTCCAGGAGGACCAGATGGAGAAGGAGAAAGAGGAGAAGGAGCAGGAGGAAGAGGAGCAGCGGGACAGCGAGAAGAACATCAAGCAAGCCATGACCCACTTTGTCCAAGAGAACGGCACCCTCCGGGCGAAGCCCACCTCCAACGGCATCTACATCAATGGCCGGGGACACCTGGTGTGACCTTTGCCCCCTGCCACGGAGCCCCAGGACCCGACAGAGCACTGAACCCACTTCCCAATGGCCTGCTGGAGCCTCCCTTGGGCGAGGGAGCCAAGGCTGTCACCTCCTTCTGAGCCACCCGGCCGCCATGCAGCTGCCCTTGGAGATCTCCGCAGGCCTCACCACCCCGTTCTTCTTCCCCGGGAATCCTGGCCATGGTCTTCTCTTGCTCCGTCCACTCGAGGAAGGAACCAACTCATTCCCAGTGGGGTGGATCAACAGCCGGTTCGGAAATTGGGAGAGCTTCCCCCACCCCTTTTCTTTTCTGACTTTGGCGGGACAGTGACATTACCTGGCCTGTGTTTTCGTGTCGTGTTTTTTTAAAAATGTTTTGAGGCCACACATGCAGAGCAAGCGATTCTGAGGATGCCACCAGGCAGCAGCGCATTTATCTTGGCTCAGGGACAGAACCGTGAAACTATTGTGCCTCCCCCTCTAATTATTGTTGTTAATATTAATATTATTATTATTAGTTGAACGTTTGTGGCCCCCTGTGGTTACGGACAGAAGCTTCCCCAAAGCCTTGCCGAGGCAAGCAATAAAATCATTGTTTTTATTTTATATAATTATTATTACCTTGAAAGGGAAAGGCTAGCTTCCCAAAGACTGAATGTAGGCACAGAGACAAGGAATCCCGGCGGGCCTCAGGGGAGCCCTGCGAGGGAGATTCCCTGCTTGGGAGATGCCCGTGGGCAGGATTCCACCCTCCCCAGTCCTTGATAACGATTCCTGTGGGGATTACACTGAGACGCACGCTTTTTCACCCAGCCCCATCCAAAGCGCAACTTGTGCATGAATGCAAAGGATTCCAGCGGCTACATCTCCGGTTTGGCAGATGAAACATCCGGCCAGCCCTATCCTGCCAGGGTGGGTTGTGCCACCACTTCCAGTGCGACCACCTGGAGATCGGTTTTCGCTCGGGCAAACCCCTTGCCACTCGTGCAAGCTACGCAGACCAAAACTGCTTCCGAAGCAGGAAGACAGCAGGACTTGCCAGCACCATGGAACAGTGAAATGCCAGGATATTTTGGGATTTATTCTTGTATCCTGGGTGGTGAAGGGGGAAAGGGGGATTGTGGGTCTCATTGCCCTTTGTATATCCACAGTCATAGAAGGTTGGAAGTTTTGTGCAATGTATCATATTCACTCTCTCTCTCATCCCCTCTCTTAAGTCCGTTTCACATGTGCATATAACCCCTGGGCTATTCATCTCTCAAGGGGTCAACAGCTGAACAAGTCAACTGGTGCCTTTGAAAACCTTTTTTTGCATTGGAGCTATTGTGTGTTTGTTTGGGGCAGGGGGAGCGAGGGGTGTCACAAAATTTCCATGGTGGAGATTTATGGCTGGTTCACCCCCACCCCCCAAAAAATCATCCGCTGCTGAAGCCATCAAACAAGGTGTCACAGATGGCTGAGCTGGCCCCGAGGGGTGCGTGTCTGCACACGCATGAAAGCACACGTGCTCCTCCGTGTTCCCTCACTGGGCGTCTGATTATCCCACAAGGACTCAAGCCAAATGTTTGAAGTGTCTCCTCAGGAAAAGGGTTGTGCTTGCCAGGACACGAAGTTAGATCTAGATCTGAGATGGCCCCATTCACACATGCAAATTGTGAGCACCGCCACCAGAGAGCATTAGGCAGATGCTGAATCACTATACCAGCCCCTGGATTCATTTGTTTACAGCGTGGGGATAATGATACTGTTCTACCTTACCGGATTGGTGTGATACGAAATAAGGTGTGTGAGGTTTTTCTGAGCGCTCAAATGGTGTCATACACGTGCTAAGTTTAATGAGGCGGTGAGGCTGTAGGAACCAACCCTTGGCCTTTCTGACTCAAGCAGTTCCAACATGTAGAACCGTAGAACTGATGGGTTGGAAGGGATCCCAAGGATCATCTAGTCCAACCCTCTGCAATGCAGCAGTCGCAGCTCTTCGTAGTCTGTGCAAAAGCATACCAGGTCCTTGTTTGCGGTTTTTGTTTTTGTTTCTGCTCAATGGGGACAGCCTCAAATCCCCCAGACTGTACTCACTAGTAAATGGGGAGATATGTTGCTGGTGCTTTTGAACAATATCCATGTGCTGCAGACTGCAAGGAGGTTATACTGGGTCAGAATCCAGCCGCTTTATGTTAGCAAACACCATTTCAAGGTACTTTGTGTAATGCGCGTAGCCAGGATTTTCGTGGGGGGGGGGCGCAGAACCTCAGTTTGCTATGTATTTTTATTGATTTTTATTGATTTAGGCAGCTTCCATTCCCTGCCCCCACTTGGCTATGCCCATGTCTTGGGTGACGCCTCTGTGAAAAGTTCTGCGGAAGCAGATGGCAGCTAAGGGTAGCTTTGCATACCTAAAGTTTTGTTCCACTAAGGTGCCCCGTATCCCGTGCCAGGAGTAAACGTACATTTAGAAAAATGATCACATAACATATAGTCTTAGCATAGGAGCTTCTGGCTTACCCTGGGTGAGCTGAAATGTTGCTTTTTTGCAATTAGTGGGAGGTCGAACTAAAATGAAGGTTCCAACACAACACCTAGGCCACATTCGCACCATACATTTAAAGTTCTATGGTACCACTTCAAATACTCATAGCTTCCCCAAAGAATTCTGGGAGCTGTAGTTCATTAAAAGTCCTGAGAGTTGTTAGGAGACCCCTATTCCTCCCCCAAAGCCATGATTTCCAGAATGTTTTAACCAGCACTGTTTTTCTAGGAAAAGAGGTGCCAGAACTCACCTTGTTCTCTTGTAATAGCAATGGCACCCACCTGAGAGGTGCCGGAACTGGGCTCCAGTAAGTTCCAGCTGGGGAAAAAGCCCTGGTTTGAACAATCAATCCCTCCTCACGGGGAACTTTGGGAATTGTAGTCCTGTGAGGGCAATATTGGCATCCTAACAATTCTCAGCGACCTTCACAAACTACAGTTCCCAGAATTCCTTGGGGGGGGAATCCAGGAGTGTTTAAAGTGGTATCATAGCACTCTAAATGGTGGGAATGTGCCCCGTTGCAGTACACTGAGATCCTTCTGGGATGACAAGGAGCCCCTACAGCATTCATTAAAAGCTTCCTCTTTGTATTCTATTGCTTCCTGTTCTGCATGTCTTGGGGATTATTTCACTACAAAAGAAAGAAAAGATTAATAATAAGTAATACAGTGATATGCAGCAAACCACTTTGAGGGTTTTTTTAAACAATCAGGTGGCATATAAATTTTATGAAATTAATAAATAATAGTGATTAGAGTGTTGGACTAGGACCAGGGAGATCCAAGTTCAGAGCAGTCAGCTGTGAAGCTCAAAAGATGACCTTGGGCCAGTCACCCTTAGCCTAACCTACCTTACGAGTTTGTTGGAAGGATAATATGGATATATGAATGAAATAAGGTGTTAGCTGCACTGAACAAGAAGCAATAAAGTGGGCCAAATTACTAAGAGCACACTTTTGATGACAAGCACGGTTGCCCTCAAAAGCCTCCGTAGTGCCTAGCCATGCCACGCTTTAGTGCTTCAGCTGCATTTTATAGCAATAATGGTAGTTACATTTGCCATAAAATGCAGTTTAAGGGGTCTGGCGCAGGCTCTTGGGCCAAGTCCAGCCCCCTGGTGTTAGTGTAATATTTTGTCAGTATGGTGTTGTAATGTCTTATTGCAGCTATTCTTGATATCCGGAAAGGCAGCTCTTAACTTGGAATGAGAAAGCAAGCTGGGATGGTTGCCACCGCTCTCCTGAGGCTCAGACCTCAAGACGCAGAGGAAGGGGTTTAGAAGCTCAACGGCAAGTTAGGGGCGGAGTCTGGTTTTTGAGAGGATGAAATCTAACAGAGCACCTGTAGGTTCTGGGGAGGAGGGTACCTGGGCGTGATGAGGCAGAGTGGAGCCTTGTGGACAGGAGAGTGCAGCTAAAGGCAAACATTTTATACCCAATCCATGAATTGCCTTTCCACGTGATTCAGCCGCTTCTGATAGTCTACTCCATCTTCTGGAGGCTCTTAAGGCAAGCACCCTGCAGTTTCAGAAATGTCAAACTCTGAGACACTGCAGCTTTACAAACTGAGAAGAGTGGTGTTTTTTCCCACAAGGCCACAAATCTACCCTAACAGATGCAGTCACAAACTGACATCAGAGTTACCGAGTCAGAGAATTTCATAACGCAGAGCAATTATCACCACAATTAAGAGATGCCTACAAATCTCCCAGGCTACGCAACTCTTCTCTAATCTAGTGGTCAAAGAGACATCTAATTGAAGCCGTTCCTTTACAAAATGATGAACAGAGCATTTGTTTACAAGAGATTTATGTTGGTTCTCAAAGGTTTGTCACCCATCTGGTCCTGAAGTCTCTGGACACAAGTCTTTATTATGCTTTGGTTTATCCAACATCCTTTTTGACAGGAAGGTCTTAAACCCAAGCCCGGAAAGGGGGCAGAAGCTAATTTTGGTATGGAATTCCTCGCACACTCCAAAATGGAGCTTTTCTTGCACAAATAACTATAAATACACTTTACCAAAAGTTTTAGAACAAAGATAGAATAGGGATCTCTTGATATATATACATCCAGATCCCTTATACAGTATGTGCATCTCTCATATGTATGTATGTATGTATGTATGTATATATCTATATGTCTATTTGGTTTATCTCTTCCCTATCCATCCGTCCAGTTTTTCTCCAAAAGCTTGTTGTGGCCTGGCCTGGGCCACTTAAAATGGCAACCAAGTCTGCACCACAAACTTAGGTTTAATACCACTTTAGCCATCATGCCTTCCTGCAGAGAACTCAAGGAACTGTGGGCTGATGTGGGCCTTCAGAATTTCCTGTTTAGAAGATCTACAAGTGGGACTGGAAATAAAGGGTTGTATTCAGCTAAGTTCTACTCAAAGTAGGTCCATTTAAATTAATGGACCCATGTTAGTCATGTCCATTAATTTCAGTGGGTATACTCTTAGCATGACTTGCACTGGATTCAACCCAAAATGTTGCTGTGTGAGCGCTCCTGTTCACTATTCCAGCCAGCCAAGCTGTACCTTCCTCCATTCCATTTCCCCTCCATGTTTTCTGCACACCCCCTCAAGGAAAAAAAAAACCACTCCATGGTCACACTCAGTCCTCACTGGACTGTTTTTGGGATCCCAGTCCTTTAGGGTACATAAGCAATAGCACTCATGACTGAACGCTGGGAATATTAAGAGTTGTGTGTCTGCACCACCATAGAATTATAGCTTCCTGGGAAGAAATTGACTATTAAGCCAGTTTAAGTCTATAGTTCAGCCTTCCCCACAACTTGATAACTTCCAGATCTTTTGGATACCAGCTCCCACCAGCCCCAACCAACACAGCATTTTGTTTTAACTGTGCGGTCCAAATGAACTACCATTTCTTTAACCAGCTGACCAACTGTAACGGCACCCCAGCAAGGTAGGCCAAAACTGATACACTACAATATGTCCAGGGACACCAAGCTCAGTGAGCTTTGAAGTTGAATAGGGTTTTGAGTGAACCATGGGTGGTCAAACTCCAAACAGTCAAGTTGCTAGACATCTTGATCTACCTCAGAGCAATACAGGGAATTCAGGTGGCCCAGCCCCTCTTTTGTTTTAATTGTTCTCCACCAGCAGGGGCTGTGCCCAAATTTCGTGCCCACTGCCTCAGGCCCGAAGAGGATGCATTTATTCTGCACCCATAAGGATAAGGCGCTTCCAAAGTGAATTTATATGACTCTCTTTTACGTCCTTTTACATGTATTATTATGATTTCTTGGTTGTCTTTTTTTTTTTAAGAAAGAATTTTAGGAAAAGGCTGTGTCATCTGCTTCTAGGACCCTTGAGGTCCTTGTATAATCTGTAAATGTGTATATAAAATCCCTAGCAATGGATGCCTGTGAATGTGTGTGTGTGTTTGTGTGTGTATAGATATATAGAGAGAAATATTATGCAAGTGTCTTTCTGTGTATAGGAAGGGACTTTGGGGCGCTCTTACATGCACTTCTGCTGTTGTAAATAAATTGCACCTTTGGCACCCCAGGACTTGTGTCTTGTTGGATGGATTTGTAAATTTTTACAGATTTTTGCCTGGTTTGGCAAAAGTGGTCGGGGAGAGTTTTTCTATTCCTCTCTCATAATCCAATCCTAGAAAATTAGTAAACCACCCAAGGAAATGGATCAGAAGTAAAATTTCAGGCCAAAGAATGTGCATCAACTCATAACTATGGGATTCACCACCACAAGATGTAATGATGTCCACTAGCATAAAGGTACCCCTGCCC